TCCCCGCACTGTCGCTCAAGGTGCCACCTCCTCCCCCGCCTCACCTACCGCCCTCTGTCTTCCTACCAACCTAGTTCCCTTCACCTGAGCCCCCTCCGCCGTCCTCTCGACCTTCAGGGCACTTTTCTCTCTCCCTCCCACGCTCCCTCGACTCTCGTGGCTGCCCCACCCCTGCCGCGCCCTCCGCCTACACACCTCCAGCTAGGCCTTGGGGCAGGCTGGCCCCGTAGCCGTAGAATGCTCCCCCGCGCCATGCTGCTTCACCGAGTGAACTCACGCGCACGGGACCCTTTCAATGCAAATTATCGCGAGGGACCTGTTTTGCCTTTACAAATGTAAGCGGCTCTCCTTGACTGCAAGGAGAGCAGTGTGTTGAATGTTCTGATGCGTCAGTCGGGGAGTTTCTACAAAATGGGCACAAGAACAGTTAGTTCTCTGCACCAAGTTTTAATGAGCGTGCTGTTTGGAACAGTATGCAAACCCACTGTGCTCGATGTTGTTCTACACTAATGCATTTGCACATTGATTGCATCTTTAAAATGTACTGCCATTTACATGTCGTAAGCTCATTTTTCTTAACGCATTGACATTATTTACAAAATTTCCTTAAAATGGTTTAGATGATAAATGCGGTAGTTAAATTATAGCCATTGAGAAACATAATATTACAGTCGGAGAGATCTTTACTAAGCACATGGAACGTTCTCTGAGTTTATTTGGTAGAACGTTTGTAAACATATTCGTTTTGTTTGTTGAAGGAAACTTCAATAAAAATAGTTTCGTCTTTTACAATGATATCATGGTTTTCACATATGATTACATGTGTTTTTTGCATGCAGAAGTAGTATGAAGTTAATTTGACCGTGCATATTTTGGGTGGTCTTATGTGTCAAGATCAAAAACTCTCCTCATTTTTTGAATCTATTATTGTTAAAAACTGAAATTTTCATTTAAGAGGATTCAACGTAGCGTAAATTCTTTGGAAATAATTTATCTCTGTTGGCAACATTTTGTCCGTATTTTTAGAACGAAATTCAATACAACAGTTATGATACAAATTGAGTCACTTCAGGTGAAAGTATACACAAGCGAGTTCCTTATAATATTGGCAAAAAAACTCATTTTCCAATTTAACCTGAGAACCATTGATCCCAATATCCAGTCGTCCAGAGACTGCCGTATAGAAACAAACAGTTTCGTAGCAAAATTATATTATGAAACTTCTTTCCTCTAATTGAGGACAAAACAATGTTATATACTTCAAATGTTTCACTCTGTGTACTTTTTACATTGAAAACTATTTAACCACTGTGAGAGTGTAGGATTCCTTGGCCGGAGTCAGGAGCTGCCAGGCGCCGACGTTGCGGCCGCCATTCTGCGGCCTTCATCAGGACAAAAACTTAACCACTATCTCCCACATTTTCAATTTATAATTCAGAACACCGTTGCGGAACAATGCCGACGAAGCTACTTTGCAACGACACGAAATTCTGCTATCCAGTGAGGCAACAGGCTGCCACGCCACGGGCCCCGATTCCACGCCGCTTAACTTTCGCCTTGGCTAAACAGCGCGGGAGGGCGCACCTTCTAGGCAGGTTGAGGGTGGCGCGCGCCAGGCAGCCTCAGCCCCAGGAAGGGCGTCCAGTCACGCGATGCAATTCTTCAAAGTCGAGCGACGGCTAAGTATCTTCATCAAGGAGAAACAGTCATTTAAGGCTGCGGCATAAAGAACAAAAGGACTCGGGGGAAACGGAAGCCGGATCGCTTCCCCCAGAAAGACAACGTGCACGCGCGCCAATCTCTCGAAGGCTGCCCTCGCGCAGGTCTGCAGATACCACCCTACTCTCCCACTTACCCGTACTCTCATGTTTCTCACTCGCCCATCTGATCAAAAACTTTCCTGTTTCCTGACAAGAGCACCCGCTCGTTCACACGATGTTTTTCCTTCCTCGCGTTTGCCATCGCCTTTCTCGTGGCCTCCCAAGTCATCAGCTGTCGGTCGAACGTGTTCACAATGTTCCCCGCTATCGGCATCTCCGGCCACCTGCCGAAAAGTGCTAATCATCGCCCTCACTGCTATTACCCCGCCCGTCTCAGCCGATTACAATCGCGGCCTGCTCTCAGAACCGGGCTGCGGGGCGCCTCCTCCCCCGAGTGGCGGCGGCGCGAGGACGCCGCCGGTGAAAAGGCGGCGCGGGGGCGTGTCCGCGCGGGCCCGCTTTGTGCGAGCGGCTCGTGATCGGCGAGCGCTGTAATTAGTAGCCGTCTCGTTCGGCGAAACAATAACCAACGAGCGGCGATGACACGCGAACGAAGCCCTGTGCGTGCCGCTAAGTGAACAATGGAGGAGGAAAAACGGCGGCGGCGTCTTTTTGTGCTCGGGCAGGAGCTGTTTATCAGTGTTCCTGATTGTTGTCGTGAAAAGCGTTTTATGTAACTCGTCTTCGTGATTTTATCGTTACAACCTGGAACCTGCAGCGTGTCTTTTCGCGTCTGAGGCGATAGAGTGGAACAATGTAGATGAAACCTAATAGCATTTTATTCTCTGTACAGGAGATTGAGCTCTGTAATCGATTTGTACTCTTTAAAATTTGTCTTTCAAATACAACGAACACTTCCAGTATGCTATTTTTTCTAGAAAAATGATTAAAAATAATTTTCATTTTCAAATAAAATTGAAGCTCCTTTTCAAATAAAAATTTAATTTCAATTAATTCACTTTTCAATTTGAGTAATTATTTTATTACTTCAACAAGACTTTCACGAATGTATAAATAATTCGATAAATTCGTCTCACCCTGGTCACAAAATAAATTTCAGACATCTGTTTGCCTTGAAAAGAATGCTAATTTTGTTATTTATTTAAAGGCGAAGCTCGTAGGTATAAAAACACGCAAATCCTGCTGTACTACCGGAATGGAGAATCTTTCGGCGCGTTGGGAGTGCGGGAGGGCTCCCCGCCCCTCGGCGCCGGCGGCTGTTTCTCGTGGCGGGGCCACGCGGGCGAAACAATTGAACGCGCTGGGAAAACACGATGCTGATCTCCAGGACGCGTCAGATTAAATGTTACAAACTTCTCGAGCACGTAGAGATATTGAAGATGATAACCGTTTGCTAATGAAAATGTTATGGGAAAATTGTTACATAAACCAAAGATAATATATTTCATACATTTATAAGATCTATCATTTCATTTCAAGTCGTTCGTTTAAAGTTGTATGTAAGATTCTGGTCTCATAATATCCCTGTAAATGTGAGAATCTGTTTGAAGGTGGCGAAAGATATTGGTTTGTATCCTCATGATGTTCACCAGACGAATTCTTAGATACCTTCTCCTTTTCGTACGTTTATTTGAGAGCACATGCAGTGATTCATGACCAAAAATTGGAACGGTTCCATACGTCAAGATATGATCCAAACTTCAAAATCCCAACCTTGAGGTAGGATGGTGCTCAAGATATGATTATGTTCATCCTCGTAGATCCGAGACATAGAAAAAAGCATTTGATGGAAGGTGGGGACATTAAGGTGTGCGTTCTACTACGATGAAGAAATCTTCAGAGCTAGCGAATAGAGAAAGGTATAAGTCATCGATATGCGGGTTTAACTGCAGCCAAAATACGTTAATTTGATGACGGTATAAATGCATGAGGCATAAGGGGCAAATATGCACTTATATACTAAAAATATAGAACGATGAAAATGTTTGGCTAAGGAAATAAACATTTTTGAAGAGAAAGAATTTTCAAAATTAGAAAAAAACTTGAAATGCATAAAAATATACGCAAATTAAATAATTTTAGATTATATTAACATACGAAAACTGGGATGATAGGGCAACTAAGACGAAAGAACATTACAGATCACCATATTTAGACGATTTCTGAAAGTAGCACATAATGGTTTATATAAGAGTGCTAATAAATATAAAGTACAAGTTGTATAGCGTGAATTGCGTTTGTGTGCGAGGGGGCGGTGTGCAGTGTTATCGCGTCGAGTCGCTGTGCAGGGAGGACGCTTATGTACAACGCGAGGTGTGCGCTGAGGGTGATTACACCGCACAAGCCAGAGGCCCTTGCGGAGGCGCACGCACTCGGGGAGCGAAGGGAGAGCCTCTACACTCGACGCCCTTCACTCTCCGCTCGCACTCGGGGAAAGACGCCAGGGCTAAAGCCCAGCGGCGGCGAGTGAAGGGTGGGTGACCAGCTCAGCCTCCCAGCCCGAGCGTTCTCTGTGCAGGCTCTCTTTCCTCCACCTCCTTGCGGTTAAATGCCACCGAGACCGTATCAAGGTACTGAATTAAATTTAATTAGGATTCCTTTCATTATAAGTGGTAATATTTCGGTAGAATAATAATCTGCATATAGGTGCAAGAACTAAATCCTAGTATCTCATTCTACGATTGCAGAGTATTAAATTTTTTATTACGTAATATTCTACAATGGAATTAATAGTGTCTTTGACTGCTAATTACGAGTAAATTTTAGCCGGAGACATTTACATCCATAAGGTATTATCCTTAAAATTATGTTACGTAAGCGAATACACTTTTGCATTTCTGGTATAATTTGTTCTCGCTCTCATCTAATTAATGTTACGACACTCTTCAGATTCCTTGGACTATTGATGCATTAATAAGGTTTAATTTGGTTTATTTGCATAAAAAATGTCTGTGTTGTCATTTCCAAGAAAATAATTTCTCTGATCAGTTGCTTTCAAGAACTGCTCGTCCATTCGGCGTGAGATCTGTCCATAAGTATTAAATCGTATAAATTAGCTTGTCAAAGCAAAAAACAAGTTCTAAAAACCCGACCAGTTTGGTTTCCCTTATTTGTGAATCTTTGTATGGTTCAACAGTTGAGACCGAATAAATCAGGCTGGTTTCACGGGATCAAATCAATACCTTAAACGCCCGGCTTCGTAGAGGTAATTTATTCGCCGTCGCCGGCAGCGCCCGTCATCGCCCGTAGTCAGCACTGTCCGCTCGCCGCCCGGGCCCCGAGCGCCTCCGCCTCCGCTTCCTGGCTTCGGTCACAAGCGGCGGAGGGGGCGGGGGGGACGGGGGGGGCAGGGGGCTGGGGCGGGCGGCGTCTCGCAGTGCTGCTAATGAAGACGGATTCCTCCGGGCGGGCAAATTACAGCTAAGTGGGGGGCCTTTGTTTCTCGTCAGTAGCCGTCCGTCGCAGGCTGTGAGGCGGCGGCCGCCTGTGCCCCCGCCCAAATCGAGCGCGACACGACCGCTCCTGCCCCGCCCTCGCAATTAACAGCGCCCTTTCTTTCCTGGCCGATCACGTCCGCATTAGGGGGGCCCTCGGCCCTTCGGCCCCGCGCCGCCCGCGGCCCTTGAAGCTGGACCCTGCGCCCTTGGGCCGTGCGTGGGCGGTGGTACAGAGCAGCCAATGGGCATCGCGCTCTGCCAACTGCGGGTCTTCCATAGCTACGCGTTTGGCTCTCGTTCTCATCACAAACCTCGCCACCTAACGCACGACAACATCGCTGACAGCGGTCGTAGTTGTCCGGTGGTCCTCTGTTTAAAGAGTCGACGAAGGTGGATTTTCGATACAAGCTACATATCTGGGTTGAGATGAATCATTGAAGAAGAATTCTAGAAGCCAGCTACTCTCATGGGTTGTTCTTCAGGGTTTCTCACAGAAATTCCCGGTTAATGTCGGAGCACTATACTAATAATCAGGCCACGAAACTCGCACAATCCTTCCTCTCTCATCCTTTTTTCTTCACCTCCTACACGCTCCTACACATCAGAAGATCGGTTGGGAACTTTGAGCAAGTCCCGACTTGAGTACCGTTCGACAAGTAGTTCGGCTCCAATTCTTTCGATTCTGCGGAGCACTGTCACATCCATGGATATACTTTGCACTACGCTTATGGAAATGATGACCTCATTAGTTCACACGACAAGAATAGAAATCACTCACTAATTCGCTACTTAGAGGGAAAATTCTAAATCTGGATAATGTTGAGAGAAAGATGGTAGAATAAATTTTGCCTTTGCAATAAAAATTACCTTGTACCTTTTGCGAAGAGCTTGAAAAAGAAACTGCTTGATTTTTTGTTGTGTCACCAAGTAGTTTGATATGATACATTTATGTACTCACTTTATTATAAATGAGAATATGCTGTACCTTCGTAATGTCATGAAGGACCATCCAAAGCTTTCAAAAGTGCAAAGAAAGTATCTGAGAGTAATTTAATGAGCTTCTTTTAATAGAAAGCGCCGTATGAAGAGACCGCTATGTGTGTAGAATATATAAGATAAAGCTTTGAAGATAAATACAAAATAAAATATTTCATTGAACAGAATGTTTTTAAAAAAAATTTTTAAAGGTTATCTTTAAAAGTTATCTACTAAAACACACTAGAATGGACATGTGAAGTATATTAACGTCAGTTGTATCTTATAATTCTTGTGGCTCAACCAACAATTACGTAATTAATAGAAATGTGAACTTTTATTAAAAATTTAAATAACATAGACTTGATTTAATAAACTTTGACTAGACTTATAATTTATCTTTCTGAGAAATTTGTATTGAATTATCTCCGTTTAAAAGCCGATGTTTTCAATTTTTTGTGTTAAGTTGTTTTTGAGCTTCATGTTTTTATCGCAGAAAAATAATACCGAATATTTCCAAATGTACGATACGTTGCTTCGTGATACACGAGCTAGATAAGAGCAGGAACCATAAGATAAATTTTTCATTTTCGCAGAAGTAGAGACGATCGCTGGTGGCAAGGTGTCGAACAAGGGAATTTGCTGTTATCCCGGTGTTAGCCCGCACATGGGCGAACGCCGATGTGGTAGAGCAGAGAATGCAGAACCGTAGGGAAAGGGCGAGCGCAGGTCACGTGACGCCGCGACCCCACACTTCCCTTTCCGCCCCTCGGCCACAGGAATTACAGGTCGGATATATTTGTAAAATTGCCCGCCTGTATTTTCGATTGAGTTAGGAACATGTTCATGATTATGGAAAACAAAAGTATGTAATTAATGAACTGTCAGCGATTCAGCGTCGGCGCAGGGTATGCGGCGCGATGCCGCAGGTTGAGAGGGGGAGGGGGAGGGGGAGGGGACGGGGCGGCCGCAGTGTACACGCCCCCACCCTCTCACCGTCGGCTGGTGATATTGGCGGCCAGCCTGCGGTTGGGCGCAGGCGCATACTTGAGGTTTGTCACGAGGATTCCAATTATAAATCGACGACCCTGTTTTTTGTTTCCTTCGCATGCTGTCATTCAAGTAAGCAATTTTATTTTCCTGATTCTTTATTTCAGATTTATTATATAAAATGTTCAGGATATGGAATTGGATATTATTCAGAACAATCAAATGCAAATTAGTGAGAAAATATTGTAACAAACTCGAATTTTTAGTTACGTTCTTTTTGTTGTTTTCGTGTATCTGCATCAGTGTAAAAACAAACACATACAACGAGCAATACATGGATGCTTGTTGCTCCAACTATTTCAATATTGAGCCTTTATATATATGTAATTTACTTAAAATATTACGAAACACATTTGTTGTTAATTGCTGAAAGAAATGTAAAGGGAGTTTCAAAAATTATTTGAATTAAATATTGTTATATCTATGTTGAACACTTTTATCGATCTGAAATATACGTTTATTCAAATAAACATTCATTCAAATATTTCATTACATTTTATCTAATATGACGTATTCATCTTTCATTTCCTTTGAGATTTATCTCATGATACACGAAATTTAATATTTCATAGATGCCTCTAAGAAAATAATCTCATTATGACTAACAATTCTACATTAGAAGTTTTCATATATTTTCCATTTTATATTTCAAAGATGACAATATCTCATTCCGCCCTTGAAGCGAAATCACATCTTTCCGAAGGATAGTAACCGACTCTAGTACTCCACGAAAGCGCACACATCCGCGGCCCGGCCGTGCTTCCAAACGGCTCCAAAGCGAAGAGTAGAGGCGAACAAGGGAGGGGAGAGCGGGCGGGTGCGGTGCAGCGAGCGTGGCTGCCTGGCTCCAACCACCATCCGTCGCCGGCGGCGTCAGCCCCTGCGCTGGGGTTCCGCCTGGCGCCGACTCCCCGCTCGCCCCCTGCGTCCCTCGCCCTGCCACCACAACCCCGCCCGCTGCTCCTCCCACCTCTGCGCGCGCCCCGACTTTCGCGCACTTGAATGACGAAGCCGCTTCAGCCTTCGAATTTCCGGCGGCGGCGGCGGCGGCGCGCGTGTAGCGAGGGCGGCGTTGTCAAATAAACGAGGGCCTCTGCGGCGCGTGCGGCGCGGCAGGCAGGCAGGCGGGGCTGGGGCGGGAGAGCTAATCCCTTTACGCGCCGGCCACCTGCACGCCCGGCGCCGACCTAACCGCGGCCGGCAGCGGCAGCGCGCGCTTTCAACGTGATTTGGTCTCCGGCTGCCGGTGTAAAGCCATTATGTAAATGGCAGCCAACGGGTGCCCCAGCGCGGCCCGGCCCCCGCCACCGCCCGTGGCGCGAGGGCCCCGCGCGAGCACGTGAGCCCGGTCGCCTGGCCTGCCAAGCTCTCGCCTCGGCCGCGCACGCCCACATCGCCGCAATGAGGCGGCCGCCCGCCCGATGAAGACGCCCAGCAGGGGCGCGGCGACAGGTGGAGCCTCGCGGAGGTGTCTTGGAATGCATAGTTTCCATGTGAAATCTCCTCAATACAAAGGACTGGACGGACAGAAACAGATAATACAAAGTTCTTGAGAATTCCCAACTGTGCTGTTTCGGAAGACACATTCTTTTTGTACTCATTGCGGGCCTTTCCGTAAAGAAGAGTAAAAATACAAATCTGTTATTTTAGAGTATATAAAAAGCGAAGCTCTCTAGTGAGTAAAACAGTTTTATTGGGGTATTTTCCGACGATGGTGCACTAACAGCTGAATTGCGCTCTCATTCGAATGTTATTATGAGCATCATAATAAAAGCGGGTTCTTACTGATATATAACAACACTTAGGGGAACATAAAGGAAAACAAAGAGAACTTCTAAAATTCTGTAAAAAAATATTTTAATTAACTCTAAGGACTTATACGAGGTATGGTACCAACGATTTTAAACACAACTACAAATACAATATTATAAACGCTAGCCGTAACATAGAGCATGGCTGCATGTTTTCGCCAATTATCAATAAAACGAACGGAAGCCGTCATAGTTGAAAGAAACGCATGGTTTGAGCTTTCGTTAGATACCCAGGAACTCGGGGAAAATCCGAAGAAAAACACATTTGATTTTGCTCTTAAAAGTTCAAATATTTCATTGTGTTATCCCGCCTATGCTCTTACATATGATACTATAATACTGCAATAATCGCGAAGATTGTTTGTGTTAAAATATTTACGTTATTGCATTGCATTGCATTGTTAAATACGAGTATATTTTGTTTTTCTTGAGCAGTGTGATCGTTTTGGAAAACCACTTGACGTGGTTTTTTCATCAACAATTTTGCTGCTGAAGGCAACTATTTTATTAAAGAATGAAATAAAATGTTAATTGGGGGCCGTTGTAGATGAAATATTGAAAAGTACAGTTTGATGTAACGTCAAACTTGTTACTTTACAAACTATTAAGGACATAAGAATTCAAATACTTAAAGGTGATACCAAAGAACTATTAAATGCATATCGAAATGAAATGCATGTCAGAAACGTCTGATATGTAGATACTTTGATGAGCAGTTTTAGGATGGAATGAGATGAGCATGAGGAAGGAGTCTGTAAGTACTAGTATCCACAACAAATTTGTCCAAATATTAAGATTGCCTTCTACGTTCAAGAAATGTTATTATTTTTTCATTTTACCAAAAGTTATCCTTGATATTTTAATAGTGTGATTGTGCCTTGCTATTTATGTTTCCACCTACGTGTACAACCACAACGGGAATACAGTGTCCGTCCGGTGTGTCAGAATATAACTCGCACTTCAATAACGCATCCGTTATCCTGGATGCGTTATTGAAGTGCGAGTTATTTTCTGACACACATTATCCTGACATACGTTTTGGACGAGTTGAAACCAAGTTTTTTATTTCCTTTCACAAATTAATTATTCTACCGTGCGTGCAAATGTTTTCCCTTATCCAACTTTACTAGAAGGATCCTAGCGTTTTATTTATACCTTATTTCTTACACTAAAAATAACCCATAAGTATGTGGAGATACGAAAAACACTGACAAAGACAGACAGACTCCTAAAATGCTATAAGTAAAGCAACTTTACAATCACCTTCGACACATAACTGTCTACAAAATTTTTTTTTTAATTTACCCAAGAATTATTTTTAATACTATTCTCAAAATTATTCCCGTTTTTATATAGTGCTGGAAAAGCTCCGTCAGCCCTTTCAAACCTGTCATTTGAGACCAGGACACATCTTTAACATCAGCAATGGCTACATCTCGAAATTGGAATCCCTAATCCGCATATTACTGAGACCAGCACCATCAGTAAACCGTTCTACAATATCATTTCTCAGTTCATAAAATTCATTCCCTCGCATTAAAATTTTAAATCATATCCTCTTGGTGGGTTCCTGAATCGCACTTTACTTGTTAGTTACTTTCACACTATATTTTTGATGACTCAATATTTCACCACAATTTGCAATCACGAAAGTTCATATTTCCGTATGTCTTACAAATCTCGCATGCTGTATAAAAACTACGAGCTGTATAAACTTTTCCACCGTCATTGCAGAATAGATAGCAGATACCCGCTCACGATACCACCTATACTAGTATTCTGTGTAGACAAGTGCCTCATGAAAATTCTGCGCAACCCTGTGACACAGTACGTTTCGATTGCTATAAAAAACTTGTTATTCTAATCTTCTCATTAACTCCGTCCTTTTAACGCATTCCCGTTCTCCCATCTTAACCTTACAGCGCGAAGTCTGATTTGAGGTCGGTAGTAGTCGAACTCGGGTGAAATACGCATAAACGGGTATTTGTGAGTTACCGTCGTGGCTGACAGCCAGCTCCCGTTGCTGCGACAGCTACTGAATCTATAGCTAATCGTCGCATAGAAATATCCTTAGATCAATCAGTCTTTTACGTGCACCGAGTAACTAAGTGAAACAGAACCAACCGTCGAAGCCGTGTTGCTGAGATATGGTTCCTTCACAATAGAATCAGAATATTCGGTTTCATTTGTTGCTCAATTGGAATGTTCCTGATAATTAGAAAGACGAACATTCTGGATATTTGTTTACATTATCTCAAAATATAATTATGTTGCATGTGACTAAATAATCCTTTTATTCTTTTATCTTCCAAGCTCACAAATTTGTACTGTATACATTTGCACTATGTACTAACACACGTAGTTTCCTTTTTTAGTACATTTGCCTACATCTGTTATACAAATATTTGTAAATACTGAATCTACTAATCTCATAATCTCAGCTTTAGGTTCATTACTTTTTAAATAAAATACATTTTACAGTTAATGGTGACCGTCACAACGAAGTAATTAAAAAGTATCCTTTGCCGAGACTCGACCTTTCTATAGAACTTCCATTTAAATCTGTATGTATTTAACGTGTATAAAACGTAATTAAACCTCAAAATGTATTTAATGTTACGCTTTGGAATCACAAAATTCCATGAAAACTTTTTAAGTTTCCAAAGCTAGCAACATAAATCTACGTTAAATTCTCGCTTTGCAAACTATCGTGCGTTAATTTTGACAAACTCGATTACAAATATTCTCTAAAGTGGATTTTTTGTGTCTTAAAGTAAATCGTAGATATAAAAAAGTACATAGTTAAACTATGTATTCAATGTACCAGACACACACTCTTTTTCTCTATTTAGGCACGGCTCTAATACAAATTCTGTTTTGTTATTTTGTATTATGTTTGAAAATCAAGAGACGGAAATGAATGTCT